ACCTGGTTTAAACTGGACAGGAGCTTCTTTGACAGAAGCCCTTTTGTAATGTGGTACGGCTGGCTTCTCAGCCACCACTTCTTTACCACTCTCAACACAGCACTTAACCCGTGTCTCTACCATTTGCGGATGAAATGTCACGTTATGAATTTTGTACTTTTTAAACAAAGTAGTAGTAGTGTGTAGATTAATTGTTACGCGTTGATTATCGAGCTCGCTTATCTTATCTGTTATCGCTGCGTTTTGGTTCTTAAATTTGTTAACAATCTAGTTGAGTATCTAGTTCTTAGAGCATATTATAAAGCAAGTGTTTGTTTTAACTTTCTGCTCCGATGAGGAGAGAAAGTTTTTTCGAGGAGAGCCGCTTAGACATGGGCACCGTATTGTTTACATTATTTAGTTATATTTTATTCAATATCTTTGTCGCATAGTAGCGGGGTAGTTAGTATTGTGTTTCCTTTCCTTTCCATTACGGCATTTAAGCCAAAAAGAATCAAGATCAGTACCGCCTTCTTCTCTCCGATCTTATCCTAATATTGGTATCTACTTCAATATTTCATATTTATTATTAAACGTCTGGTGGAAGGGTGATACGTCTGAACCGAACAAATGGGCTACAAGAGTTTCTTGTTCTACACAATTCAATCCAATACAACTCCACCCAAAAAGTCTTTGATTTTGTATATTACTTATAGATAAGTAATAATAAGATAGATCTACAATTATTGAAATTTCGATGAAAATTAATGATTCACAGCTATTGAGCTATTGAGATGTGAGGAGTTTTACTGAACATATTTCTTTCATCCTCTGAGTGGCTAGCTCGGACTGGACACAAAAACACGCACAATTATCAGACTGAGGCTCGAATTTATTATTATACGAGACTCATTTACAATAATGCAATCATTACAAATAATATAGAAACCACCGCTGAATGAATCTCCGTAAATGATATAATAATGTGATTTCTCTTTCTTCGGGGTAAATTGAATTTAACGGTAAGTTTCTTATAACAATTCATAATACCTATATGCGCTAACCAACCATGTATCCGGATACAGCTCAGTTTAAACCAAATATAAAAAATGTTGCTGAAAGTGTTGGATATTTTAAGGAATTCGCGTCGGGCACAAACCAACGTAAAATGTGAGAGTTTAATCTGGATTATATAAGAACAAAACAATAATTCCCATTATAAAACCCGGTAAATCCAGTTTGTTTCTAATTGTTCATGTAGTGTAGCAGATTGTTGAGATAACAGTAGTACTGAACCAACAATCCTCCAAAAGTTATCAAAACCAATACATACAAGCTCACATACGGAGTAATAGCATTGAACACGGCAAGACTACTGCTAAAAACAACACTCTGCAGGGCAAACGCTACATCAGGCTTCATACCATGCATAACTTGGTTACACCCAGCAATCCTGCCGACTGTCACTATTGACAGCACCATAGTGTACGTGATAGACAGACCACTGAGCAGAGCTATAACATAAACCACCCAGTCTCCAGCCGCTACTATCGGAGCTTGAGAAATGAAATCTGATTGGAAGCTGTCCCCAGGGAACACAGCTAGAAGTAAGAATAACCACACATAGTTTAACCAGGTAAAGAGGTGTACCATGGTCCGGTAGCTGAATACCTGCACCATCTTGTAGAATGTAGCGGAGGCCACCACGGTGAACACCCCTGATATCAGCCCTACTTCAGGTATGAGGGACACATCGTGGTATGTGTTGTTGACTGCTGTGACGAAGCTGATGGTGTAGCTGAAGAGGAGACCCGCCACAGCGTTTGTTAGCAGTAGGTCCCGAGCTGCTGGTTCCCTGCACAAGCAAGCTAACCTAACTCTGAAACTCCTCCTGTCTGTTTCCTCGATACTCCGGAAACTGTCCACCAGCCGGGAACTCACTGAGAACTCCTCTGTAACTGGCTGGGCTATTATCCTCCGCAGTAGAAACAGTCCCAGAAGGCTAGCCAACACAGTCACCCCCACACATGTCCCGTATATCCTGATACGAGTGGTGGTGTCCAGAGACCCGCTGTCATCTAGACACGCGATATTAATAACACTTCCCACCACCCCGCTCAGGTTGCCAACTAACAGGAAGTAACTGAGGTTCCTCTCAATGTTCTCTATACGGGATATACTGGTTACATAGTCCTGACACACTACCTGCACCACCCCATCCGCTAGTCCTGTTATAACAACTCCTATCATCACAGCGTACTCCTTCAGTACGATCATACCCACGTACAGTCCACTGTGGAGGAATGTGGTACCCACAATAAGACTCTTGTAGCCCAAGAACCGCCTCAGGAGGGGAACAGAGAGGGAAGCAGGGATGGTTACCACGAAGAAGAGGCTGGAGGTCAGGTAGCCTAGTTTAGCGCTGATGCCGCTGTCTTCCAGCGCGGAGTTCAGCACGCTGAGGGCGGGGGTGAGGGCGGTGAGGATGAGGAGGGAGATGATGCTTACTACCGAGATATTCCATATCTCTACCCGGATACAGGACATCTGGGAATGTGCTGAGGTTAGGGGATTGTTAACAGAAACACGTACTGGTTAGTTCAGAAACACATACTTGAAACTAAAACAACGAAAACATCTTCAATGGTTCAAAGCAAGACTCTGCTTTCAAAAGGTTGGGCAAACTAAGAAAATATCAGTACAAAGAAAACATTAACCGCGATGTTAATGAAAGAGTAAGAGCAAACATCTCGCCAAACATGGACAATGAAGGGTTAGATATACTGCTCAATTTTCGATTACTACAGCATGATGATGAAAGAGATTCACGTAAAGTTAATAACAATAATGTTCTGCTCTCTCTCTCTCTCTCTCTCTCTCTCTCGTCGTGTAACTATAGTGTAACCTGACCCCCTCTGAAGGGTGAAACTAAATCTGAACCTCCTGTGCGGCAAAATGCGGTAATTTTGCAACAGTGAGGTGTGACAAATGTTGAACTGAGATGTAACAAAACAGAGAGCATGTTTGCACTGTGAGGATTGTTTGTTGTTAACATTTTCTTGAACTAGGGAGTAGATTATCTGAACTGTCTGTATAGTGTCAATTTCTCATAATTAGATGAACTGTGTAAGTGTGTCCACTGTCCAGTGAACTTATTTAAAAGTAAAGACTTGATAACATTTATATAAAATATTAACAGATGCACGGTAAATAATTTATCATAAATTTACAATAACCGGCTATGTAACATGATGAGATTAGGATCTTGGCTCAGTCATTGATGATGATTCTAGACTGTACGCTAGTTTAGGGCAGCTGATATTAGGAACTGAAACTAACCAACATCCAGACATGAGACAGTTCTAAATTTCCTCTCAGTCCAATAAAAGTTTTTTTATGCCGTGTTTCTGGATATGGGAAAATGAATCATGAAAAATAGCATATATACACCTAATCGTGTCTGTAAGTTCCTGGAAACTGTACGCGTATGGGATAATGAGCTGTGTATGAGCAGTCGGCTATAGTTACCCAGCTATAGTTGGGAAGTCAGTATCATACTTATTCCTAGCAATTAGTGCAAAAGTGATAGAGATATTATGTCTATAATAAACACGTCATACAAAATATAGCTGATTGCTCCTTCATAAATTAATCTACAGGTTTGAAACCGTACTAATGTATCGTGAACACCTGTAAATAAATCCACTAGAAAATGTCACTTCTAAAATTCGAAGGAAGTGGGATTGGATCGAGAAACTAAAAGGAACTTCCAAAATCTAACGAAACATAACTAATAATTATATACTCTGAGCAACAGCTGTTGATACACTAATTCCAGGTACGGTAAGAAAATACACACAATTAAACCAAGTACATCACTGGTTAATTTACCCTCATCATATCTTGCATACAAATACACAGTACATAGTACATAATACATTATATATACATACATAGCGTAGTTTTATACACACAGTCTGATACACTAGTACACGAACTAAGAACAACAATATCTACTGGTTTACAGAATAAAACACAATCTCATTCACTATAGTCACTGAAATAAAAAGCATCATGTATTATAGGGAGGCAAAGCAAAGCAACAACTAAAAAACCTCATGAGACGATCCTCATTACTTTATATTGTTAGAACTGATGTGTAATGTGTATCACACACACACACAAGGCACAGTATCACACATACACACTGGGCCAGTGAAGAAGGGCAAAACAAGAACCAAGGTGCTAATCAAGGTGGGTTATGTTTCTACCAACGATAGAGTCACTCTTCACAGTTCACCAAGTACCACTACTGAGTCTTGAGTCTGTGATTATGACAAAGTGAACCCTGACGTCCGATGCAAATTATAAGTAGATCCACCCTTCGGTCCCCCTGTTCATGACCATTACATGTATGGAATAATCGTGAGTACGTGATCGGTGATCCCAACTCAAAATTGATTGGATTATAGCTTGATTTTTATACTTTTTATACAAACAAACCAAAATTACGCGGGATTTTATGTTATAGCTTTTAGCTAATAGCAGAGCGACAAATCACAAACATTACAGTTTTTAAGCTTAACCAGAAACAGCAATTTCTGACTGAGTTCATGCTAATAAACCCGCAATTAGGATGTATAAACATGGTAAGTGAAACACACTAATTGCTTCCTAGTTATACCCACGAAATTAGTTTCCCAGGATACATATCTTCAGTTTTGTGTTTCATAGCAATTACCAGATGTATCATGTATAATGTGTATGTGTATAGTACAATAAGTACATTACACAAGTACAGGGAACTACTCACGAGAAACAACTGTCTCTGGATCTGGAGTGATGATTAAAGAAGAGGAATATGTACTCTTTGCTCTGATTGGTTACTGTCAGTGTGTCTGTTTGTCTGTTTGTTTGTCTGTTTGTTTGTTTGTTTGTTTGTCAGTGTGTCTGTTTGTCTGTTTGTCTGTTTGTTTGTCAGAATGTTAGTCAGTGTGTCTGTTTGTCAATATATTTCTAACCTGGTAAGCTGATGTTCACTCCGGTGGTTGGTGAATGTAGGATGAGTCAGGAACTTGGAGGTTCTCTCAAATGGTGTCCTCAGAATACCTCCTTCTTTTGGTTTCAGCTGTTGCCACAGGTTAGCCTGGTGGAATATCAGTATCAGCGAGTGTATAATAAGTTATTATTATTTGCAGCCTTTATAGTTCAGAATAATACAATATGAACCTGATTTTATTGACCGGAAGCAGGAACAGGTCACTTGTTGACCGTGTTTATGGGAGATGACACACAACTGGCACGTGATATTAATCCAAACATTGGTATTCTTTGTCACAGTGTCACGTGGCAAAAACTCTTTCAACCTCCCATCGCATTACAGCCATATATTTTGAAGTCGAGACTCATAAAATGTAGTGTAGACGTGGAGGGCAAAAAAATGTCCTAATCTTAAAAACGATATTAGATTTTGTGAAGGAGCAAATTATGCCGTATCATAAAAGACCAAGGATTTTATGCAGAAACTTTGCACGCTGGTCGCTGAATGCAGAAGTATCGCGAAGATTGATGCTTGCCAGTAAGAGTACGAATGAGTGTTTGTGTAATCTTCAGGGTTACACTCTAGCACCAGACAAACATTCCTGAACAATTTAGCGAATTCTTCTCTTTCGAATTCAGGATTTCTCCAGAACACTTGTGACAACTAACCAAGTAAGATCCCTTTATTCACTGTTAATTTGATTTCCTTCGAATTTCCACAAGTAAGATGATACGACCAGGAGGAGCTAACCAAGAGCTAGCTTTTAAAGGCCACAATAATTACGGTTTCATAATGTGATAATATGACAAATGCTTATTTAGTAAACGGCCTCCCATATTACAGTGCAGTAGCACTCTGTGCTAGTCGATTCTAGCACGCGATAATTCAATCGTCACAATATTTGGCAGCCTTCCAGATTGATGATGATAATACAAGTGCACTCATCGACGGTAAATCTGGTCTACAGCTTGCAAATAATGTAGCTTCACAATCACAAACATTATATAGCTAATACTACAATCAAATACATTTTATTGAAGACGCTGTTGATTTAATGAAGTCATAATGCTCCTCGCGTCTTAAGATAGCGTTCCTCTTGTCTCATATTATACTACATAAAGATCAAATAAATACAAAATATATATTATAGGATCTTTCTTTCATGATTGTGCTTGTCAGCTTTTTATGGTTTATTTTTATTGAAAACTAAACTAGGATTATACTAGTATAGATTACTACTAGTAGGATTAAGTAGGGTTCTACTAGTAGGATTAGGATTAGGATTCTACTAGTAGGATTAGGATTAGGATTCTACTAGTAGGATTAGGATTAGGATTCTACTAGTAGGATTAGGATTAGGATTCTACTAGTAGGATTAGGAGTAGGATTCTACTAGTAGGATTAGGATTAGGATTTTACTAGTAGGATTAGGATTAGGATTCTACTAGTAGGATTAGGAGTAGGATTTTACTAGTAGGATTAGGAGTAGGATTCTACAAGTAGGATAAGGAGTAGGATTCTACTAGTAGGATTAGGATTAGGATTCTACTAGTAGGATTAGGATTAGGATTCTACTAGTAGGATTAGGAGTTGGATTCTACTAGTAGGATTAGGATTAGGATTCTACTAGTAGGATTATATTAGGAGTAGGATTGTACTAGTAGGATTAGGATTAGGATTCTACTAGTAGGATTAGGAGTAGGAGTCTACTACTAGTAGTAGGATTAGGAGTAGGATTCTACTAGTAGGATTAGGAGTAGGATTCTACTAGTAGGATTAGGAGTAGGATTGTTCTTGTAGGGACTAGTAGTCTGTAGTTACTACCAAAGATAATAAGTAACACTATCACTACTAAAACCGAACAACCTTTCACTTTCAGCCAGCTAATGGTCTCAATAGTCTTTGTATGACTATTTATCACATAAATTAGGCCACTCACCCAATTTTCACCAACCGCAGAGTAAGTCTAAAAGGTTTTTATTATTTTTTTGAAAAAAACTTCACCTCTTAATTGATAACCTTATAATGTGTAACTGTAAACACTCTTGAAATCTATAATCGGATATCAAATGAAATGAGATTTGCTCATTCACAGACTAGTCCAGACTGTTGCTATCGGTCCCACCCAACAATAATCTCTAATAAAGATAGTGTCCCACCTGCTAGATCAAGTAATTATAACTCAATTAACGTAATTAACTCAATTAAAAGATAAATAACTAACCACAGAGGGAGCTCCGAGTACAAAGAGGAGATCATCCAGATCTTCTGAAGTAACGGTCTCGTCTAGTGATATACCCACCTGAATACACATCATATTATGTATATTGTTATTATCCGGACGATATTATTTTGTTATCATCCTCCTCGAGGGTAAATATGGTAGTTGTGGATGTCTCAACTCATCAAAAGTTTAATTTTTTACACCTTACTCTTTCAAATTTAACTGTATCCGAAATTAGAAGTGATGAAATAGATCAACAAAATCAACATCCAAGATAAATTCCACCGAAATGCATAACCTAAATCTCTAAACAGGCTCGTAAGTACTCACCGTATTAGGTTCCTCGTACTGCCTGATATTGATGTGTCTTATCGACGCGTTTAACAAAGCATCATCGTAAGCTTGCTCGTTTCTGAATGTTATTTTGAGAGTATCAAAGAACGCTCCCTCGTCGATGTGATGCCCTGCTCTTCTTGCTCCTGGTGTTTTACAAGGTTATGAGGGTAATGAGGGTACTGAGGGTAATGAAGGTAATGAAGGCGGGGATAGAGGAATTGAGGTAAATTGGGCGGAAATTTGTACCCAAGCTATTTCTTAATTCGTGATATTTATGAGATGTGTAGAATTGTACTTTGCAGTTTTACAACCATCCGTTAGTTGACTTGTTCAATATCCTACCACACGACATATTAGTAACCACGTGGTGTGACGTCATGACACGTGGTGTGACGTCAAGGCCAATATCCTATCGCTAACTATTTTATTATAAGTGATCCTAATTTACTGTACATTGCGCCATCCGTTACTGAGCAGTAGGCGGCGGAAGACTGTTCTGAGTGTAGTTGTATTTTAATATTTGGATCAGAATGTACATACTATGAAGAGAACACAAATGGAATAATATTAATGAATAAGTTAGAGTAGAATACATCTAAAGTTTGAATATTGAGAGTCCTTGAGAAAGTATTGTCTTGATAGTCTCATGGAGCCTCTATCAAGTACGTGATTTAACATGATCGTTATTGACTAGTAAAGTAAATGTATTGCTAATAATAATAATGTATTCTTTCTATCGCTTTATCCCTCATCCAGAAAGTTTTGAATTTCCTCTCAGTTCAATGTCCAATCTAAATTATCAAACCCTAGGGTGTGAACAATCAAGGGAATCACCGAGAACTGGCTATCACTCGTCAACATGACAATATCCAGAGCAGATTCGCACGCCAGAGTGGCACAATATGGGGCCAGTTCTCACAACATCCTTAGTGATAGTCTTTCTTTGATAGGAATTTCTACAATGATGACCCTCTCGGCTCTCAACCCTTCTATCTATCACCCACTGTGTAGCAACCACTCTGGGAGCCATCACCGCTCTATAACATGCTATTTCCGGGTCCCTTGCACCCAGCATCTGCAGACAGCAGCAGATGGAGGCAAGCAAGGGTTTCAGATAGCTGGTGTTGAAGATGGTCAGAGTTAAAACCGAGCGAGAATACGAGAATTTTGGAGAGAATAATAATACAATAAGGAGCTGCGAACCTTTTGCGAAGTGTAGCGTCAAAGAGGAGACCCACTTTACTGTCTGCTGAGTTTACTACACTTGGTAAGCAAAGAGAAAATAAGGTTGAGGAGATGGTTGAGAAGTTGGAGTGAATATGAGGTGAAGCCCAGAAGCCTGGCACTACCATGCTGATAACCAGGTTATCGGATAACCTGGTTATAAGTATGGTAGTGCCAGGCTTCACCTCATATTCAGACCGTTATCCAGATGATAAGAAGGCAGGAGACAATAAAAGCATCAACGGTTAATGCAGTACGAAGACGATATGGGTTCATTTTAAACAAATCTTTCTAAATCTCCTAATGATGCTATCAAAAAATTGTTTGTTTTGAAGACTGTTAAAGTGTTAATGTTAAAATATTCTGTGAGATTTAAACTCAGAAATTGCAATATTCGGGGAAAAAGTGAAAAATAAAATAGTGGAAGCAGATTCTCGAGTTCATAGTTCATTTTGAGCGGAAGCTAGAAAATACGAATAACAAGATACGTACCCTCTGCGACGATACAAGTTGAATAGTGCACTTTCTCAGCAATAGAATAGAGCCCCTCCGCGCCGTGGTATACTGCGTACATAGCAGCCATGTTCGCTAACAAAGCCTGAGGAAGGGCAGTGTTCAAACACAGGGAATCATCTTGATTTCTTGTATTAATTAAGTTGATGGTTTAGACACTGAGCTCATTGGAATAATCCCCCCCCCCCCCCCCCCCCCCCCAGTCCAGCATCAGTCTGGAATCCAGACCATTTCGTCGATGTATTACAGCTAAAGCTGGCAAATTTCCGCATGTGTTTATTAACTGTACGTGATCAGTATACAATGCCCGGACTCCGGTCACGCACACTGTACAGTGTACACGCACAAGGTGGTCACGTACACTGAATTTCTACACTGGACACAGATATAATTAAATCATACAGCCTAGCGTTCTTAAGAATATATTATATGTAAGTTCGTGTGTGACTATGTCTTAATTGTCGTGTACGAGACCAAGTACGTGCCTAAGTTTGTAACTTGTTACAAAATTAATTAAATCGACTAAATTATGTAAATTTTATGATATTATATTTTTTAACAAAACCCAAAATTGGGTAGATAAGAGTGTACAGTGTCCAGTGTCTCCTTTTTTCAGGCAAAAGGAAATTATATCAATTTAAATTACTGTTACTGTACCCAAACGCAAAATTATACTGAGAATGAAATCGGTCGGTCGCTTTTCCCGTTTGATAATACTGAATACATTAACAAATGAAAGGACAAGTTGAGGTTTCGGTAAATGATTGGGTCGATCATAATATTATATTATACTAGTGTAACCCGTGCCTACGGCCGAGACTTCACTATAGCAGTTGAATTGCAAAAGTACAAACAGTGCAAAAGTTAAAACGGTGCAAAAGTATGAACTCGCTTAGTCGAAACCTAATTATGCACCAAAGCTGTAATTATGGGAGCTATAAATGGGGAGAAAAATTGAAACACTTTAGTATCGCATTTGGGGTACAAATCCATCAACTAGACCACTTACCACCGGCCAAATTTAAAATAATTGCTTATCGGCTTTGTCAAAGTTTTGTCGAAACTATACCGAAAAAACCAGTCCCATAACTCTAACTGTTTTCTTGATTAGGCCGTTTGGAAATTACACACAGATGTACATACCCACACATATATTGGGATTAGTAGTATAGAGTGCAGTTAACTTTCCGTTAGCCAGACGACATTAAACTTTCCCCTTCACTATAATATATTTTACAGAGTGGGAGATAAAAACATTAATAAAAACATTTGATACACATTATTGTAAAGTATCTAGTTTTTATATTATATCGCAAGGCCAGCCACTTTGACATCGGCAATTTTAATTTTAATTTTGATTGTTGATATAAGCGGGATAAAAATGCTTCATTTCATTTCAAATTTACCCTGTATTATTGTTAACAAGTACTCGTCTACACAAACATTGATGTTTGTTTGAAGTTTACAACTTAATTGTTCTATTTACAGCATACAGTAACACAGTACACAACTGAGTTTATTTTTATCAGGTAAAATAAATTGCCGTTATATTCAAAATTCGGGGAACATTCTGGGGTGACTACTAAATTGTCGTTAAACTGACATCTCTCATCAACAAGCGTATTATCTGTGCCAAAAACCATCGTCTCTGAATCTTAACATGCACATTTAACATTCGGGGAAGATTCTAGTGTGATTACTGAAGGTGTGATCGTTGTCTATTTAATTCTTTACTTTAATGCCGAAGCATCAGATGGTAAAAGTGTAATAATACCTGAGAAGTACAGGTAAGTCAGTGTAATAATACCTGTGAAGTACAGATGTTGCTGGTAGCCTTGTTCCTCTTGATGTGCTGTTCCCTTGTTTGTAGAGTTAGTCTGTAAGCTAGACCATCCTCCGCATCCTTCGTTACTCCAATTATACGACCTGGTACAATTATAGTGGTGAGAAATAGATTGTAATTTAAGTTGTAATTTAAGCTAAGTGTCCTATTGTAAGCAAAATCTTGTTTAGATATTCAATTTGTGTTTAGAAAAACACAGCTTGATCGTAAAATGGATAGACATTTTAGAAAGCGAGGATTAGGACTCCTCTGACTACATTACATAATATGTTCATTCTGTATCATCCTTAAGAAGTGTACCTTCGTGTAGTTGTGATAATACTATATAATATTTTAAAACTAAATGAAACTGAAGGATGAGTATTGACAGTAATGATAATGTACCTGGTATGGATCTCTGGAGATTCTTCTTGACGCTAAAGAATGCAGCATGAGGACCACCATACCCCAGAGGCACACCAAACCTCTGAGCGCTACCAAAAGCTATGTCAAAGCCGTACTCTCCCGGAGGTTTGATCATTGTCAGGGCTAGCAGATCAGTTGCGCAAGCTGCCAACGCCTGAACAATAGGGGTATAAGATTACTGTTTGAATCACATTCAAATTATCAAAAATATGTTATGATGGGCCATTAAATATTTGTCATGATTTTGTAATAATATGATAATATAACTTCTATATCAATACAGGGAATACAATAATACGGGCAGACAAAACATACACTTATCATCTCAACTGTCAAACAGCCGAAACTTAATGACCTTGTTTTCTTGGGCAGCTTGGATATACTCAGTGTAATCGATAACTTTTCCATCAGAGTTGGGGTACTGAAACAACACTCCACAAAGTCCCTTGGTAGCGTAATCGAACGTCTTGTAGTCACCTACTATCACCTGAGAAAGTCATGTGTGATGTGGAAGTAGAATGGTTTATCCCATTATCTGTGTTAAAATTATGCAAAACTAAGCAAGTAGACTGTATCACAAATAGATAAATTCAGCAACTTTAGAGCTGTATTTAAAACATAAATCAAGGTCTGTCATTACCTTTACTCCAAGGTATTTTGCTCTGGTTAGAATTACAGCAAGACTCTGAGGAAAGACGGCTCTATCAACGAAAAATTTTGGAACTACTTTTTTCTTCTTCATATTCCTGAAGTGATTTTTCATATTATATTTTGTACAAAAATAATTAGCAAATACGAGTAATCATAATAATTAACTGCAGTTCCAATTTCCAAATAAGCCATAAAAGTTATAAAGGCAACTTGGTCGTTTAGCTCCGGACAGTCTATGCAACGTCTATGCAACGTCCATGCAACAACAAAAGAACCGTCTATGCAACGTCTATGCAACGTCCCTGCACAATGAACACTCTATGCACACTCCCTGCACGGTCAGTCTATGCAACGTCTATGCAACGTCTATGCAACGTCCCTGCACAGTACCATATGAACACCGGCTACTAGCCGGCTACTAGCCGGCTAGTAGCCACTTTTGTAATAACAGCTCCTCAACTTCACATTACCTACCGGCTACTAACCGGCACTTGAAAAGTGGTCACTAGCCGGCTACTAACCGGCTACTAGCCGGCTAGTGACCACAAAGTGGCTACTAACCGGCTACTAAGCGGTCACTAGCCGGCTATTAGCCGAGCTCTAAAGCAGACCTACTAGTAGCCGGTTCCAAACCGGCTACTAGCCGGCACTTAGAAAGCGGTCACTAGCCGCTTTAGAGCTCGGCTAATAGCCGGCTAGTGACCGCTTAGTAGCCGGTTAGTAGCCACTTTGTGGTCACTAGCCGGCTAGTAGCCGGTTAGTAGCCGGCTAGTGACCACTTTTCAAGTGCCGGTTAGTAGCCGGTTGTTAATGTGAAGTTGAGGAGCTGTTATTACAAAAGTGGCTACTAGCCGGCTAGTAGCCGGCTAGTAGCCGGCTAGTAGCCGGTGTTCATATGGTACTGTGCAGGGACGTTGCATAGACGTTGCATAGACGTTGCATAGACGTTGCATAGACTGACCGTGCAGGGAGTGTGCATAGAGTGTTCATTGTGCAGGGACGTTGCATAGACGTTGCATAGACGGTTCTTTTGTTGTTGCACGGACGTTGCATAGACGTTGCATAGACTGTCCGGAGCTAAACGACCAACTTCCCGTTATAAACAAAAAAAAAAGGTTTTTTTTTTTAAGTATTCAATTTAACCTGTAACACAGTGCCATTGCTTCGGCAGCAGCTGTTGCTTCATCCAGTAAACTAGCATTTGCAATTGGAAGACCGGTCATATCAGACACCATGGTTTGGAAATTTATGAGACTCTCCATCCGACCTTGTGCAATTTCAGCTTGGTAAGGTGTATAGCTCGTGTACCTAAAAATGAGTATAAAATCAGAATATTTAACAAATACAATATACATAGTATTTCCTATGCGAGCGATAATTAATCACAAGGTAAAATGTAATATACTAAATTATGATATAAAAGGGCCCTGACACAAGCATACACACAAGTTCAATAAAGCCTGCAAGGTACTCTTACCAGCCAGGATTTTCGAGGATGTTCCTCACAATGGGTGGAGGAACTTTGGAGTCATAATATCCCATTCCTATGTAGTTCCTAAAGACTTTGTTCTTAGCAGCAATCTTGTTGACACGTCTTGCTAATTCCAGCTCACTCATTGGCTCAGATACATTGAGGTCTCTTTCATCAAGAATATCTTCAGGCACAGTTTTTCTTGTTAGCTCATCCAAACTTTCGACTCCAATGTACTTGAGCATTTCTTCTACTTCAGCTTTATTTGGACCAATGTGTCGACGAGAAAAGTCTTCAATAACAGGTAGGGTATCCCTTTTTCCAGAACTAAGGGAACTTGTTAATTTTGTAGATGGCCAGGAAGAGGATTTTTGACATGTCTGTACCACATTGAGATTCCAGGATGGCAAGCGCTTTAGAGTGAGCCTTAACATGACCTAGGCCTTTGGGAATCAATGTTAGTTTATATTGTAATTAACTATTAATTAACTAATGATAATAATAAATTATATTACAATAATGACATGATGATATCACATTGCATGTCATGGCAGTTAATGATATTCTACATTCCTTAAATGACATAATATATAAATGGTTCCAATATACAAAGAGAAATAAATAAGGATATATAAACCAGGGTCACCTAAAGTTAAAAATTTAATAACGTTTGACTGTTCACTACATAAGCCAGATGTTGACAATTTTAGGTACTCACCTACCTCCTCATTACACATGTCAGATACAGTATATATACATTCAATTAAATCAAGTGGTGCAATTGGCAGAGCACAATCAAATTTTAAGTGTTGCAATTGGCAGAGCACAATTCATTGCTACCAACAATTTTTTCAAAAAACATTTTACAAAACATATGATCTACTCCATTATATTTGATGATGAAAATCATTTAAAAATAACTGGCTACAATGAGCATTTTAATAACAATAAATAGTAGAGATCAAAAACTTTAATTTCCAATAGAGAAAATTATAGAAACACACCTAACAAATTTTACCCTGTTAATAGCTATTAAAAAACATTAATAGTTTCGTATAAAAATTATGATCTAAACAATTACTACCCTTCAAAAATTGATAAAAATGTTTATGTAACAAAATATTTGACTTTACCAGTCTCTTGACGTTTCAAAATGAAACTGAGGTTGAAGATGCAGTTACAAAAGGCCACTGGTTCTTAATGGTTACTGAAACAAACGTTATCCAAAATAAAAGTTCTAAAGCAGTCCATATCTGCTTTCCTGTGAACTGAACAGCTCAAATAGAAAAACTCATTCCCTTGTTATTACAACAATATTTAGTTTAAAGGTGATTGTTTTCAAATAAACATAGTCCAATTACACTATACTACACTTCAATATGCTTGTTATTTAATACTTTATCATAATAGTAGCAAAATTAGCAAAATTAAATGGTATAATAAAGCCTTATCTTTTCGAAAGATTTATCTTCCGCTTAAGATTTAACCCCTCGCTTTCTACAATTTTAACACACACACTTATAAATATATCGTCCCTTGAACAGTTCAGTATGATGGAGCCCTGCTCAGTTGCTAGATCGACTATGGGCCTACCGCTGTTGCACAGGGTGATGATTCGTTCCGCTTGACATTGTAGATTTGTGTCCACAAGCTCACAACTTGATAGTAGGTGCAGTGCTGTTTGCTCATCCGAGCCACAGATGCACAGCGGAGAGGCCGCTGCTCTGTCAACTCTGAAGAGAAACGAGTTCAGTAGATTGTTCTTGTACATGAGACTCATAACCAATACTTCCACTTCGCGGCTCACTCCAAAGGGGATGGGAAGGGGGTTGCAGGAGACTCTTGGAATATCAGACCATCCTTCCATAAGTAGTAGGTTTTGTAGACTTTCTTGCCAAAGTAGTGAAACAAATTTTTTTTAGTGAAACAAATTTAAAATTTTATCCTTTATTTTACAATCATAATATAATAATATTTATAAGCCTCCGTTTTGAAAGTTTTAAATTTTAATACATTCACATTTCTATTTAAAATCCAATTTTATGTTCAAGTCAATAACTGGCCGCCAAAGCCGCGCATTCTTGAAAACAGGATTAACTTGATTATAGTTATACGACTATGTAAATTTAAAACTATCCGTGGTTTTTTCTTTAAAATAAATAAGTTATAATTTTACCTAAGTCCAAAGCCAGCTTTGAAAAATTTACTATTAAATCTAATCATAATATATCGTCAACTTTAAATATTTACAATGCAACAATTCATTAATCTGTAAACACGCGTACTCCAGCCCCTAAACGCATAAATTGTTATGCGGCGCGGCTCAAGCCGCGCACGCACGTATTATTTTATACTGTTTGCTTTCTAATAAATATCGTGCCAATGTGTACGTCTAAATTGTAAACGTTCATGTTTTGTGTAAAGTGAATCCAATTGGGACTAGTGACAAGGATAAGGACCCAAGTGCCTGTACGGCTTTTTCGGACCCCTGTGGACCACTACTCTTGAAATCACTCTACAACATTGAACATTTATATCTACTACGTCATTTGGCAATTATTGTCATTAATCTAACTTTCTAATTAATTGCCGAGGGGGAAGAGTAAACGCTTCACATTAAAATTCAATATACAAAATTCAAAACCATCAATACGGTATTAAATATTATGGACAAATCTATAGATCTATTTCGTAGTCATATATTCACATGATTTGCTTTATATTATCTTAATACTGTAATGAAGTACAGTAGGATTTGTGTTTCGAGAAAGAAAGGTTGCGGTCAAATTATTAACAAAAGTAAACAAAAGTCCATCAGGGACTCCGTGGAGTCGAAAAAGGTACACGGCCGCTGTCTGGTGCTGCTAGGCATTTATTGATCAAGATGTTTTATTGTATTGATTTATAATGATTATATTGTTCGTGACTAATCAAGTTCTAAGTGGAGGTAAAAAGTGCTGCTTAAGATACTTCGTCATATCATGTCCAGTATAATGATTAAGATAGTATACAATGCAGTTTTAGTAGTTGACCCATACAGTTAAGTCCGTCATAACTCACAATCGTTAAGTCGTCGGTCAATTGTCAAAGTCGTTGTGTGTTTATTCGTTGAGATAGCAGTAAGATAAGTAGCTCTGTGAATTGCCCCACATCCAGAAACACGCCATCTTGCAAGGCAGCCTGGGAGGAAATTTTTTTTTTGGGAGGAAAAACGGGAGAAAAGAGGAAATTTTTGAGAAGTTACTCCTAAATTTCGAAATATTTTTTTGGAATAAAGACAAATTAATTGAGGAAATTTTTGAAGAAAACGTTTTGATTGTATAAAAATCAAAGAGGAACATCCTGTCAGTTTTGGAACACAGTGAAATATTCTGATTGGAGAATGCAGATTGCTGTTGTGAAGTTACCAAATTTACGTGAGTACTTGATTCTTTTCAATCCCAGTTTATTGCTGTCCTACAAATTTCTTTAATGCCAAATGCCGTCTAAAACACCCTATTTCGCAAAAAATTTCCGGGGGGCTGCGCCCCCTAGCCCCCTCCAAGGGGCTCTGCCCCTGGCCCCCTGCTGGGGGCTGCGCCCCCAGACCCCTGCCACAGCTTGCTCGCTTCGCTCGCTGCGCAGATGAATTGGACACGTGGACTCGCTTCGCTCGCCGACAGCCCCCTCCCCAAACTTGCGAGCGAAGCAAGCGGCCACAGAATTTAGAAAAAAAACGCATCTGGGAGGAAATATAAAACTTTCTGGATGTGGGTGAATTGCTGTATCATTCCCTTGGTGTACTTGTAAGTCTTTGGGGATAGTAGCAGAATGTGGTCCAGGTTTCTGTGGCTGATTTCACCGAGGTCACAGGCCTGAACTTCTGTGTTAAAATGTTCTGCTTGTAGGAACTTCTGCACCTCTCGGAGATGACAGAGCACTGCTGGGTTCTTTTCATTTAGCTGAGTTTTCACAAAGTCATAGTGAATGTCATTTGAGTCATGGAGAACCTTGAGGTAGTGTTTGATCGAGATTATTCTTCCCAAAGTTTGGAGTGGTGGCACACCCAGAATGACTTCAAGAATGGCCCCATTATAGGGGCAGGGATGAGGTTGTATGAGACTTCTGATAGCTGAATCTCACGTTTGGTGTCCACCTTCTTTCCTCGGTACCCTCGAAGAGCAATAAGAGTTGTTCTCAACATTGCAAATCTTATCCTTGTTCTCACATGTCTTCCTACATCGAAGTACCTCTCCTTCCTTTTTCTTGCAATGAGGTCTGCTACTCTGTTGACGAACTGCTTACACTCTTTAGACATTCCTCCAGATGTGAGGAATACAGCCGGGGTGAAGGTAGCCTTCTCCACATTCAACACTCTCTCCAAGTACTCGTCCTTCTTCTCCTTCTCGTTCTCTTCGTATACTTCTTGAAGAGTTTTTGTCCTGTTTGATAAGCAATTGGGGTGTGAAACCCTTATGTCAAGAAAGGTCTTATCAAATGGAGTCCAAACTCCTCTAGCAGATACATCAAGCCGAGCTAGGTCACCTGTTATAGTCTTTGGGTTGAGGCAGTCACCCTCATTTACCTTCTGTAGCTGGGGTTCAACTTTTACATCATAACATACCTGTAGCGAATAATGACAAGGAAGGAACATCCATTCTGGAGACAATATCACTCTGTCTCATAAAAATGGACGACCCCGTCACTGATTGTACACTGTTATCTGATAGTGAAACAGTAAAATGTGAAAAGGGGACTAAACCAGTGAGCCTTGTGATGGAAGCAAGCACCAATTGCGATGGTGCAGAACCGATTCTATCGTACCCCAAAGAACACGATCATATTGAAATTACCCAACGTGCTGATGTGCATGACAAACAGGACACCTCGATTGATCACCCAGAAGAAGTAGCATCTGATGATACAACCGATGATATTCAAGGATCTGTATTTCGTAATAAGGTGACATCTGTTGATCCTGAAAAAAAGGATTCAACCTCAACCAACAGTGCTGATCCCTCTGTTACTGAATCAGTGAGTCTCCCTGATAAAGAGGACACTACGATCGACCACCCGGAAAAAGAAGCATCTGAGGATACAACCGATGGCCCTAAATTGACTAAACTGTTTCTGAGGAAAGAAACATTGGTCCAACTTGCGAACCGCAACTCAAAAAGCAAAATTGTCGATTGGGTGAAGTTATGCCACATGAGGGTGGCGCACACCGCTGAGCTAAATAGGAAGATGGTTCTTGAGCACCTTATAGATGCTTCGCAAGGAAAAGTGAAGCTTCAACCGAGTCTAATCGAGAAACTTGTCAAAAAACTCAACGATGACGCAGTTTCTGCCGAACTGATGAACATAGGTCTAAAAGTGCCGAAAAATGCAAGAATGCGCAAGGGTGCTCTCGAGACTTATCTCAATAATGAGTTTAGTACTCTTAACACAAGTGATTACAATGAAACCTGTCATTTGGAAGAGAGTCAAAAAAAATCAAAAAATCCAAAGCG